CCCACACCCCACACCAGGTGCCCCCATTCCACCCAGAGCCCCACACCACACACTAGGTGCCCCCATTCCACCCAGGGCCCCACACCCCACACCAGGTGCCCCCATCCCAGCCAGGCTCCCACACCGCACACCAGGTGCCCCCATCCCACCCAGGCTCCCACACCCCTCACTAGGAGCCTCTTTCACTCTCACAGACTCCCACACTCTGTACCATGCTTCTTCTCTCCTCTCACAGGAAAAGCCAGAGCTATGTCTGTATGTGTCTGCACGTGCATTTGTAGACACGCGTGGTATTGGCAGCGTGCCCCAGGCTCACATGGGCTCGGGGCACGTGACACAGTGAATAGATACCTGGAGATGGAGGTGTGGGCCTCCCAAGCCCGGTAGATGAACTGATGGGGTCTACAGATTGGTGGAGGGAGGGGCGGGGTGGAGGCTGTCAGTAGTGACAGAGCTGGCTCTGGGTGTCCAGACTACTCTCTGAGCCCCAGCCCTAGCTGGCTTTTTGTTTTCCTCAGGGGAAATGCTTATTTTAAAGCCTTGTTATTGTAGAAACCTGTTGCCTTTTTTTTTTTTTTTATGAAGTCCATAGGCCCTTCTAAGAGGTCTTCCTAGAGCTTGATTGTACTTCCCCCTTCAAGATCAGAATCAGAGGAGTCCTGGTGGCACAGTGCATTAAGCAAGGGGCTGCTAAACAGGAGTCTTACAGGTAGGTCCCTACAGCTGACCTTGCTCCTTGCTACCCGGAAACCAGTTCAAATGTAAATTGAATCAGGCTGTCTTGCCGCTCAGAGGCCCCCTCCAGTTGTCTTTCCCACTTGAAGTACATGGGCCGAAGCCCTTTGTCCAGCTCCGAAGGCTCTCGCTGACCTCCTGACCTGTTTGAAGGCAAACTTTTCTAAAAGGACATGCAATAGCCAGCACTGTTTTCTCCTGTAATTCCTTTTCATACTATGAAGAATGACAGGGTCCCCTCTGTCCAGGTATTTTGAAAGATATCTGCCCACATGCGTTTAAGGCCAAGAGAATGGGTTTCGTCAGCAGTGGCTTAGCTCACATGTTGTCCTGTCTTATGTTGTTCCTGTGTGGATTTCATCTGGTCATATCCAGACTTAACTGGCTACAGTCTTGTAAATTTGAGGCTTCAGGTAACAAGGTAAATGACAGTAAACACTGCTCTTTTTATTCTTAGAACTGGCAGGGAGTACTCTGAAATCTGAAGCGGGCTGGCGTGAGACCCATGGTCTGTATGACAAGTAGTTTGCTGTTAGGAATTCATTTCACTGAGAAAGGAAGAATGGATAGTCCAAGCTTTTGCCTGAAAAATCATGTAACTTGTGAGGAATTAAAGTCAAAGTGGGAAAATGTGCTCGAGGTGAGACATTGCACATGAAAGGAAAAGATGCAATCTGACATACAAGCCAAGTGGGCCCCACTGTCATGGTTCCGTCTTCTCTTTGACTGCTACTAGGATGCTCAGAGCCAAAGTGTATACTATTCCTGATGTTACTTAGTTACTCTTCATTTCTCCATTTTTCTCATTTATTTTATCCTTTCTATTTTCGAAGCTTCTTCCACCCGCCTCATGAAAGAATCTAAGTATTACTAAATAAAAATAAAATAGTGAGATGTGTCATCATCTCATGGTTGTATTACACGTCTATTTACCTTTAAGCTGGGGTGACTTTTTAACCCGCTAACCTCAGTTGTGTCCCTGGGTGGTGATGGTTAAGGTGCTTGACTGCTCACTAAAGTTTGGAGGTTCAAGCCTACCCAGAGGCTCCTTGGAAGAAAGGGCTGGTGATCTGCTTCCAAAACACCAGCCCTTGCAAACCGTCTGAAACACAGTCCTCTGACATGTGTGGGGGCCTGTGTTGTTAGAGTCTCTCAGCCAGCCCAGGCTGTGTGTGAACTCCCTAACTGCCCAGTGTGCTGTGTTCTGCCCATAGGTTGGCTTCATGAGCTGGTCAGCACCTTGACTCTGTAGTGCCAATGGAGCACAGGACTCAGTAGTCTCGGCCACACTGAGAGGAGCCTGCTCTCCAACATGGAGAAGAAGCGGAGAAAGAAATGAAAGCCTCTTCTCAGGCCGGGCCACAAGAGGCCAGGCCGCTTTCTCTCCATTCCCGGCGGACAAGCCTGCAAGACGGCTGATCAGTAATGCTGCCGCTTTGGGCCAGGACCGAACCTAACTTCTAATCAAGGAAGTCGACAGTGCGATTTGAATTTATGCAGTTTTCTGACCATTTCCACTCATAACCATGAAGCTTGTCAACATCTGGCTGCTTCTGCTCATGGTTCTGCTCTGTGGGAAACAACATCTGGGTGACAGGCTGGGAAAGAGACTTTTTGAGAAGGCTCCGTGCCCTGGCTGTCCCCACTTAACTCTGAAGGTGGAATTCTCCTCGACAGTCGTGGAATATGGTAACAATCCTATTTTCAATGTTAGGACCCCTGGCGGTTTTCTCACACTTAACTTTAAACATGAACTTTGCCCAAGAACACTCTTTCTACCCTACATTTCACATGGGGTACAGGCCCAGCACCTGGGTGCTAAGTCTGTTTACCTGATACAGGTAACTCCAGTGAGACAAGAAAATTGATTCTCTGGACTGTTTGCCACCAGTTGCCAGATCCGGTGCCATGGTAGCTGGTGGGGCCGAGGGGTTTGGAATGAGTAGCTGAACAGTATCATGTGGTCCACACTCATGTAATGTTTCTCAGTTACTTCTGTGAACTTTTTCCTAAGAAACATGTAGAAATCTCTGTGCTGTGCACTCAAGACTTGTGCTAGCATCTGCACTTGTCAAAATTGCCCAGGTCTCGGACTTGGAGTGATGTGGTCAGTACACTGGGTGTCGTCCGGGGCCCACACCGACCACTTCCACTGCTTAGCTCTGCAGTCAGCTGCCTAGGGTAGTTAAACTTCCCTTCTAGCTTTGCTTTCGTGCACTTTGGGTTTTTCAAGATCTGCTTTAGACATGACTTTTCTTTGAAACTGCCACATTTTCTGCTTGACACGCTGTCTAACGTGTGCCTGAATTCTGATTTTGGATTTGTGCTCGTTGGTTTCAGAATATATCGTGGCTTTCAATGGGTACTTTACAGCCAAAGCTCGTAACTCCTTCATCTCAAGCGCCCTGAAGAGTAGTGACATAGACAACTGGACAATCATCCCTCGGAACAACCCGTCCAGCGACTACCCCAGTGATTTCGAGGTGATTCAGATCAAAGAAAAGCAGAAAGCAGGGCTGCTGACCCTTGAAGACCACCCAAACATCAAGCGCGTCACACCCCAGCGGAAAGTCTTCCGCTCCCTCAAGTACGCGGACTGTAAGTATTGGGAGTGCGGGCAGGTCTGTGTCCTCTGTGACTCTGTGCTGTCCTGTGTCACTCTAAGTCCCAGGGACAAACCCACATAGTCACACCACACCGGGTTCCCCCCCAACTCTCAACTCAGACCATTTCCAGACAGGCAACCCAGTGGGAAAGAGTACAGTGAACACTCGCATCTTTGCTTCACCTTCTCCAGGTGTGCGTGTGTCTCTGGCAATAGCCCAGTTAGTGAGGCGTTATGCTGTTCTGGAGCCCTGCACTGCTGACCACAAGGTCAGCGGTTCAAATCCACCAGTCACTCCTTGGAAATGCCACACAGGGTGTCTTGGAGTCGGAACCAGCTTGACAGTACTTCACAGCAGCAACAGCAGCTGGGGTGGGGTGGGAAGGCTGAGGTCTGAGGTCCTCCCTCAGTAGAGGACGGTCGGAAGTGACTTTACCTGAGTTAATCTCAGAGCCCTCCCTCAGACCCTGAGGGTGCTGCCCCCCTTCTCCTCCGGGAATGACGCCTTTGCAGTTTCTCTTTTCCTTCTGGTCCTGTGTGCTTGAGGTTTTTTCCTTTTAGGGCACGCCTGCAAACCGTGTTTTTGTTGCCTTTCCTCTTATCTTTCTCAGTTCTTCATGGCCACACACGGCCATGTCTCTGCTGGGTTTCTGACAGTGAATTAGAAAGTCCTTCCTTATTAAACAGAAATAACAAACTGTGAATCTATCATTTCCCAGCATCCCTGCCATCTAGGCGTGTGCACTTCTGAAAGCACGGTTTCCCTCTCTCTAACCCTCCCCCAAGAACTCTGCTCTCTGATTTACATGATTTCAAAAGAGCACTTTGGGTATCCTCAAGGGACTCAAACTGTGTTCCTTTGTGATGTTATCTGAGTCTTGGGAACAAAAAAATGTCTGAAGAGGCTAGCTCCTGGTTTGAGAGTGGGTGGGTTACAGTTTCCGGTAGCCCCTGCTCCACTGGAAGAAGGAGCAGGTACATTGTCCTGATGGAAAACCATTCCTTGGGGCAACTTTTCTGGCCTTTTTCTCGCCAGTGGGTTTTTTCCGTTTTCTGACAACTTCCTACTAAGCTCCCGTGATTGAGTTCCCGTGATTGTCTTGTGTCCTTAGAGAAAATCTATCAAGATGACCCCTTGGGAATCCCTCTTCAAAAAAACCCCAAAGCATTAACCATTACCTTCTGAGCTGACCTCTCTGCCTTGAGTTCAAGTAACCTAGCAGATCCCCTTGGAAGCCACTGTTTTAATGAGAACTTTCTTTTAAGGTGCCCTAATGAGACTAGCGTAGCGGTTACGAATTGGGCTGCGAACCTAAAGGTCAGCGGTTCGAAACTACCAGCTGTTCCGCGGGAGAAAGATGAGGCTTTCTACTCCTGTAAAGATTTGTTGTTGTTGTTGTTATGTGCCGTGGAGTCGGTTCCGACCCATAGCAACCCTGTACAGGGTTTCCGAGGCTGTAAATCTTTACGGGAGCAGAACGCCTCATCTTTCTCCCGCGGAATGGCTGGTAGTTTCGAACTGCTGGCCTTAAGGTTTGCAACCCGATTCGTAACCACTACTCTACGGACTTGGAAACCCTGTACAAGGTCGCTATGAGTCAGAACCGACTCCACGGCACATAGCAACAACAACAGTGAGACTAGGGGAGTCCTGGTGTGGCCCTGTGGGTTAATGCGCCAGACTGCAAAGCCGTTTGAACTGCAAGGTCGGTGATTCAGGCTTACCAGGTGGTCCTCGGAAACCCTATACAGGGTCGCTATGGGTCAGGACTGACTCGATGGCATTTAACAATGAGAAGACTAGGGGAATCCTGGTGTGGCCCTGTGGGTTAATGCGCCAGACTGCAAAGCCATTTGAACTATAAGGTCGGTGGTTCAAGCTCACCAATTGCTCTTTGGAAACCCTGTACAGGGTCACTATGAGTCAGAGCCGACTCAATGGCACTTAACAACAACAACAACAACAACAAGACTAGGACTCCTGGTGTGCTGTTGAAAGATAAGCACTGGACTTTGAACCATAATGTTGGCGGTTCAAATCCAGCAGCTCCTCCTCAGAACTCCTATACAGGGTCACGTGGAGTTGGAACTGACTCGAATGCATTTAACAACATTGAGACTAAGACAGGTGTGTTACTGAGAGAAGTTGTCTGTAGCTGTCTACAGAAACATGTTTAAACACGTTTGGAATAAACCTGTATCCATGTGAACTGGGGCCCTAGTAGCAATACTTTTTGACTGACTCCCCACGTATGTAATTTCTGAGCTGTGCTGTGTAAGTATGGACTGATTTGGGTGGCACCCTTTTCAGATTGTCCCTTCTACTTCAGTTCCACTTGGGTTTGTAAAGGGTGTCCATGCTACAATCATGTTGCACATTGATTACGTGGTGTCCCCACAGCACCTACATTACCAAAGGACTCTTCTCCCTCTAAACCATGCTAGCAGATTACTGCTTTCATGCTTGTTTACAGTTATTGAGGTATGCTCTTCTTCCTTTGTTGGTCATGTCGTAAACCTTAAAACCTCTGTGGTTTTGCTGCGTTAAAAACAAACCCAAACAGACCCGTGAATAAAGGAAGAGGGGAAATAATTTGCTTACTGTGACAGGTCCGCTCTCTGGTCAGCCTTAGAATGCAGCTGTCTGACTTTTTCAGAGCCTTTTCTGCAAATGTAGATGTTTTGTATTGTCCTGGGTGTTAGGTGTTGACAAGTTGGTTCCTACTCATAGTGACCTATGCTCAACTGAACAAATGACTGCCCGCTCCTACGCCGCCCTCACCGTTTCTTTCTGTTATAGTCGAGCCTATGTTCGCTGCCACAATGTCAATCCATTTCATTGAAGGTTGACTTCTTTTCACTGACTCACCACTTTACCTAGCTTGATGTCCTCCTCCGAGGACCGGTCCCTCCTGATAACCTACCCGAAGTACAAGAGACAAAGTCCTTCTATACTTGTTTCTGAGGAGCCTTCTGGTTGTCCTTCTTCTAAGACAGATTTGTGTATTTTTCTGACAGCTCATGGTACTTTCAGTGTTCTTCTCCAACACCGTAATTCAAATGCATCAATTCTTATATTGTTGTTGTTGTTAAGTGCTGTTGAGTTGGTTCCGACTCATAGTGATCCTGTGTAGGGTTTCCAAGAAGCAGCTGGTGAGCTTAAACTTCCAACCTTGTGGTTCAAACCGACCTAGAAGTCCAGCGCATTAATCCACTGTCCAGCTTTTAAATGCATATGGAGTGATTGAAAATACCCTGGCTGGGGTCAGGTGTACCTTTGTCCTCAAACTGGCATCTTTGCTCTTGAACCTTGTGAAGAGCTGGGAAGGCAACAGTAATTCACTGGCTAAAGGGTAGACACATGTTAACCCGGTGACGGGGCGGGCAATATACTATAGATGGAGGTTGTTATACACGTACATGTGGTATACTGGTGTGGCGACATAAGGTAAGCACTGGACTACAAATTTGTTTCAGTAGCAAGGTTGAAACTCACAGCCACAGTGCCTTTGCAGAGTCCGTAAAGCCCAGATGTGTCTGATGTCAGCAAGTATATCCCTACTTCCACATCCTTTGCTGCATCCAGCTTGAATTTCTAGCAGCTCCATTTGGATGTACTGACGCTACCGTTTCTAAATTGTCTTCAGCGGCATGCTACTTTTCTCTTTAGACAGTAATATTCTAAAAATAAACCACGAAGATACAAACAAATCAAAATTTGTATAGTTAAATAAGCATGCAGAAGATTTTAGGAAACATGGAAATAACCTGATTTTAGCACAAGAGTCTGAATCTCCTGGCCAGGGGCCCCCTGTACACCCTGTCACGTCGGGGCACCCCGTAAGGAAATGCAGGCCCTGTCTGTGCTGTCACTCACTGTGCCCCAGAGCGGGAAGCCACTCTTCTTTCTGCTTCCATTGTCTCAGCCCCACAGTGCCGCTATTGCTTACCTCCCAGCCTTGCTAAATAGACCGGTACACTGCAAACGATGAGGGCCGGCCTAGCAGAGTGCTGTCAGTGGACATTACATGCTAGTGATATTCCTAGGACTCTTCTTGTTTGAAAGGTGCGCTTTATTTTGGACTGAAGCCTGTCTTGTTCTGGATCCCAGCTGCTACTGCCTCTGTCCAGCAGGGCCGGAAGACAAAGCTAACCTGCTTTCCACAAGACAGCATTTAGGGCTGAGACGAATCGATCTGTCCATCACAGTCTCTTTGCTGGGGTCTCATGTGGACCTCCAGGGCCTTCAACAGCTGCTTACCTGATAGGGTCCCCTCACCATTTCGGGGGGTCTCCGTAGGCCACTCTGCGCTCTCTCTGCTTTGTCCCAGCTCTGAATGCACTGCTCCACCCTCGTTCTGCATATTGTCTCAGGCTGTTGACTTGAGAGAGTCAACATTGGACACCCAGCACAGAACAGTGTCATTTGGACTATGTCAACAGTTAGTCCATGGCACAGACTCAGCTATGTCCTGTTCAGGTCCTTGTGCCTCAGAGACTGCGACCTGGGACAGCGGGAACAGATGGACAAGTGTGTGTTGTAGAGACATTCTCTGTGGCAGTACAGATTGGTTCTTCCTAAGGCTGCTTTAAAATCTTAACATCTTCATTTTATCAGGCACTCGAAAAGGCAAAGGGAAAAACTGTGTATTTCCTTTGTTCTCTCACTATCCCTCCCCATTAAAAAAAATTATGATAAAATTTACAAACAGAGTCATCCTTTTTAGTGTATAGTTTGGCAAGTTTTGACAAATGCATATAGCTGTGTATTTCCCAACAGAGTCAAAGTTCAGGTATGGAAGAGTTCTATCACCCTCAGCATTTACCCAGGCCCCTTTGTTGTTCTTTTAAAACAACTGATTTTTGAAAGGTGAAGCCGTTGTTAAGTGCCATCGAGTCAGTGCCGACTCATAGCTAATCCTATATAGCCAGTACCAAGAAGCCGCTGGTGGGTTTGAACCACCAGCCTTGTAACTAGCAGTCCACTGCTTATCCTACACCAGAATTGTTGAAAATATTGGTAGCATACTGGTTATGAATCGGGCTGCTGACCTCAAGGTTGGCAGTTCAAAACTACCAGCCGTTCTGCGGGAGAAAGATGAGGCTTTCTGCTCCCATAAAGATTTATAGCCTCGGAATCCCTGTGTAGGCTCACTATGATTCGGAACCGACTTCACGATATTTAACAACAACAACAAAATTGGGAAAAGGTCCCATTTATGTTTTGTTTTTTCCATTTATATTTGGCAGAGATTGTCGTAATGGGATAGCGTAGCGTTTTCCTGACCTAGCAATTTAGTGCTGTCAAACTTCATGATTAGTTTGTGGTCATTTTCTTGCTGATGAAGAGTAAGGTTTTTCCTTTGTTTTAATATAACAAGTAGCTTTGTTTCTTAAAACAATGAATATAAGTATATTGGTTTGTATTTAGGAAGTTCCCGGAGGACAGCTGTTCGGGAAAGATGGGACAACTAAATAAGGCCCCGTCATTAGCTGAAAGAATGCTTCTAGAAAAGGAAGAGAAACCGGCTCTCCTTAAAACAGATTTCGCGGGCAATCACATCTGAGTTCAGAATGATCATCTTCTCTGACAGGCAGGGTTTGTGGTGTAAATGTCTCTCCTCTTCTGATCTCTCTGGCTTCCTTGGACCCAGCTGACCCCATCGTGCCCTGCAATAACACCAGGTGGAGCCAGAAATGGCAGTCATCCCGTCCCCTCCGAAGGGCAAGTCTCTCCCTGGGCTCCGGATTCTGGCACGCCACCGGAAGACACTCCAGCAGACGATTACTGAGAGCCATTCCTCGGCAGGTGGCCCAAACCCTGCAGGCTGATGTGCTTTGGCAGATGGGATACACAGGTATGTACTGCTGTCTGGCAAGGCAGCATTCCGTTGGGAGTCCAGGGGAGCCCCGTGGCCTGGCCGCCACAGCCTTCTCAGTTGCCGTGGGGTCAGCCCTCAGTCCCACCCTGTATCTTCAATTCCCGCTTTGCAGGTGTCTGCTTCCCACCAAAGAGCTAGGTGATGGGGTATTTCTCTCCCATAAACACAAACAAAAAACCCCAGTCCAGCAGAGACCTTCTCTTAATTTTCCAGGGAAATGAAAATCAAATAGGTTGGCCACACAGACTTCCTGGTCTGATAGAGACTGGTGGAACCCCAAGACTGTGGCTCTTAGACACCCTTCAGACCTGGGACTGAACTGAACTCACCCTCGTGGTTCAACTTTCAGCCTGACGGTAGCCTGTGAGGTAAACAGTGCCACCAGGAAGTACGCACCCCTGGTAACCATCAGCCACAGGAGATCAAAAGGCCAGCATTTGCTCAGAGATAGAGCCCAGAAGTCAGCAGAGGACAGGAAACACAGGGAGAAAGTGGGAAGAGTGCTGTTACTGGTGGTGATTGTCATCAGTGTCACGAAGCAAACGGTGTGTGAACCGTTGAGGGATAACCTAGACTCTAGACTCACCCAAATCACAGTGGAAAGCTTCTTTGTCTTTTTTTAAAAAGCAAGATAGTTACCAACTACCTTGATATGGGCCATTTACGTGTAAGTCAGTTCATCCCTTTAGTTTGGTGTCCTGTGTACAAAATGGCTCAGTAGCTGTCTGTCAGACTTGCAATCATTTGTTTCAGAAATAATGTTATTTGTTGAAACATTGTATAAAGGAAAGGTTACCACCAATACGGTTCATTGTGGTGGGACATTCCTGTTGTAAGCTAGATGGATTGGAGTCTGTCCCTGGACTTTAAGATGGGAACCAGCGGCTGTGTCCTGCATGTGTCCTGTGTCCCTCTTTTCTCCTTGGTTTCCGCAGCCCCCTTGCCTCCTGAGTGCCTGAAGTACTTCCGTGTTCTGACGCCTGCTGGGCAGACTGTGTATTACAACCTCCCATCACCTCTTGATTTTTTCTGTCTTTCCAGATGAGGACTCTTTGACAATACCAAATTTTCATAACCCTCAGAAAAGCATTGTAGATTCCCTCAAGCCCGAATAATTCTTGATTTTACGTGTGTGTTTTTACAGCATAAGCAATGCCCTTGACAGGTGTCCCAGTCCAGCTGATGGGTACCATAACATAGCTCGCCCTCCGGAGAGCTGCCACTTGGTTGTATTAGCTGGCACATAGTAAAAGTTAGCATCAGCTGCGTTGCCCATTGATGCAGGTGGCTTTTGACTGGTTTCTGAATTATATCCATTTGTGTGTGTGTGTGTGTGTGTGTTTGCTGATGGTAAAGGAACGCCCCACCCCATATCCTGCTGGTGGTAGTGGTGATGGTGATGTGCCGTGGAGTCAGTTCCGGGCGACCTTGTACAGGGTTTCTGAGGCTGTAAACCTTTATGGGAGCAGAACCCCTCATCTTTCTCCCGCAGAACAGCTGGTAGTTTCTAACTGCTGACCCTGAGATTAGCCCGATTTGCAACCATTTTGCTACCAGAGCTCCTTCTATGTCCTGGTGCTGTGGGTTAATGCGCTGGACTGCAAAATTCGTTTGAACCACAAGGTTGGCGATTCAAGCTCACAGCAGCTCCTTGGAAACCCTGTGCAGGGTCAGAACAGACTCAACGGTACGCAACATAAGCTATCAGGAGCCCTGGTGGCATTATTGGGGTAAGGATTGCCTGCTAACTACTCAGTCCCAGTTCAAACCTACCACTCTCTTCTGGGAAGGTTGACAGTCTCAGAATCTCTAAGGAGCTGTTCTCTGGTCTATAGGATCGCTGTGAGTCGGAGTTGACTTGATGGCCGCGGGTGTGGGCATCGCGTGCTGTGCTTGCTCTCCTGAGGGTCACTTAGCTCCAGTGTGCTGTCTGCTGTCCTGAAGAGCAGACTCTGCTCTAACCGGGAAGCTGCAGTCCTCTTCAGGGGCAGGACGGTGTTGTCCCACTGGTGGCTCCTCCCTGCTCCTTTGGTTTGTGCTTTGTGGGTGCATTTCAGCCTCTGTCACTTAGTATGTTCCCTCCCCCGTTGTAACCAGGACTTGCCCTTGATTTACTCAGAAGGAGGAGCATTGTTACAGGTGGTAACATGCAGCCTCAGGATTGGACAGCCCTGTAGCAGTTCAGATGTGCTTTCTGTGTACCCCTAAAGTTTCTGTAGCCACAAGTGAGGAAACTACCCTCCCTGGCCTCCTTGCTTTGCTGAGCTCAGCCAGCTGGTCCTGAAACCTCTGAGACATTGGAGCTCTGGCCTGACTCTGTGACGTGTCCTTTACGCCTCCCAGGGAGCAGTGCGTGCTGGAGAGAGAAATCCCAAATGTCATTTGTAGTAACACACTTGTGTGTGGTCTTCCTCTCTGGAATAAGGTGCTAGCGTAAGAGTGGCTGTGTTTGACACTGGACTGAGCGAGAAGCACCCCCACTTCAAGAACGTGAAGGAGAGGACCAACTGGACCAATGAGCGGACACTGGATGACGGTAGGTCACTCGGACTGGGCGGTGCTGCCCGTCTGTGGCCATGAGCATCCAAACACATGCCCTTGGTCACGGCACCTCAGGGTATGTGGACCTGGGGCCTGCAGAGGGAAGGAGGAATGCTCCGAGTGGACGCTGCTCTCCCAGGAGCCTGGGCAGTGGTGCCCGGAGGGCTGTCCTGGCCCTGGTCTTCACCTCCACTGGTGCTGTCTTTCCTTCCACAGGACTGGGCCACGGCACGTTTGTGGCGGGGGTGATAGCCAGCATGAGGGAGTGCCAGGGGTTTGCCCCCGACGCCGAGCTTCACATCTTCAGGGTCTTCACCAATAACCAGGTAGGGGAGAGCAACCTTCTCCCTGCCCCTCCGTGGCTGTCCTCGTCCCTTCTTTCCCTCCCACACTGAGCCTGACTCCCCACAGGCGGCAGGCTGCCACACCACCCTGTCTCGTGCACGTCTCTTGTACTTGCTCCTGCCTGTGTCCTTGCCTGCCTGTGTTTGCTATCCCTGTTGAATGGTGGCTGCCTGGAAGCTGAGGGTACAGCTCTGTGGATCTGCTCGCTGCTGGGATCCAGTGTTCATTTATAAACCATTTCTAGAAAAGCGGGTAGGGTCTTTGTAGTCCCAGACCATCAGAAGGTGAGACACTGACCTGTCCCCTGCCACACCCCACCCAGCAGGTTTGTGCCTCACCTCTGCACATCTTACACCTCCTCAAGCGGTTTCTCTTTCGTTTTCTGCATATACGAGAGAGCTTCAAAAACATTTCGTGAAAAAATTCCATTATCTCTAATTCTATTTTCCCAGGAACATTGTGAAGCCCCTCTTATAAACACAGCTTCCTGTCATTGATTGATAGTGTCTACTTTACAGATCAGGTTTTTTGTTTTGTTTTAATGTTTTATTGTGAATTATGTGATAGTTTACATGGGAGAACATTAGCTTTACGTTCATCTTATCGTATATGGTGCCATTGCCATGGTTACAGTCCCCTCCATGTGTCATCAACCAACCAAAGGGTATATACCCCATAAGCCTGCCCCTCGGTCATCAGCACACAGCGCCTCCATCTCTGGCATCACTGCTTCTCTGAGTAGGGTCTTGCATTCCACTCTTCTCCCAGGGACCTCTGCTCCTGGACTGCAAAGTCAATCACTCGCCTCGTTTAGCTACAAAACCTCTACCTTTACATTTCCAACCCTCACAATCAGTCCTAATAATAATTATTCACTGTTGTATCACAGGAGAGCCATCCCCATCTCCTTTCATCAGCCTTCCCAGACAGATTGGATACTACTCAGTGGAGATTCTACCTTCCTCCGTGCCCTCTGGATCTAGGTTCAAGTGTTTTATTGTGAATTATGTGATAGTTTACATGGGAGAACATTAGTTTTACATTCATTCTATCGCACATCATATCGTTGCCATGGTTACAATCCCCGCCATGCATCATCAACCAACCAAAGGGTATACCCTGCAAGCCTGCCCCCTACACTCTCCCCCCCACTCAGTCTTCAGCACACAGTCGCTCTCCCTCTTTGGATCTAAAGCCCCCAGCTGCTCTATCGCTCCATGTCATTGTCTCTGCCTCCATCTCAGGTATCACTGTTTTTCTGGGTAGGGTCCTGCTCTCGGCTCTTCTCCGTTGATGGTCCTAGGGATTGCTGCTCCTAGACTAAAAAGTTAATCACTTCCTTCCTTTCTATAAAATATCTACCTTTACATTTCCAAACTTCACAATCAGTCTTGATAACAATTATTCACTGTTGTATCACAAGAGACCCATTTGCATTTCATTTCATCAACTCCGCCTAGGCAGATTGGATGCTACTCACTGGAGTCTCTAGGTTCCCTCTTGAAAGCTTGTAAGCCAGTCACTTCTTGCCTTTGTAGGCCCCCCACCCTCCACCCTGCTCCTAGTTTTGGGGAGCCAATGTCCAAGTTGCCCATCCCTGTCTACTCTGTGTATGGAGGGGGTGGGAATGATCCTTGCTGTAAAGACCTGTTCCCTCTTTTGAGCTACTGCATCCATAGGTGTAGGTCAAGTTCATCAAATTGTATCAGATTACTTTTTCCCCCCTCTTCTTTCTTCTTCTAGTTGAGCTCTGATCATCCAGTCATTGAAGCCAGGTCAAGTGGGTTTTATCTGCAAGTGTGGGTGCTCTTGTGCATATGCCCTCTCTTCTTATCAGCTGGACACTTCACTCTCCAGTCTAGTCCTCTGTGGCTATGTCACTGACTCTGGGCCTAGGAGTCCCCAGGTCTTGCCACACTGCTGGGTTCACAGGAGTCTATTGAACGTGGTAGAGCTTAGCTTGCTGCTTCATTGCTGTTTTTCCCTCACTTTCCCTTATCGGTGACCAATGTGGTCAGCAGTCAGGTCATACAGACCGGGTTTTGACAGGGAATGTAGTGAGTCCCTAGGTAAGCCGGCACACTGCTGTGTGTGTGTTCTGTGCTGCTTGTAGTTGGTGACTCAGCACTGAGACATGACTCTCACCGGAAGTCCTCCCTTATGCCGGCATGCACACTCTCACACTCTCTGTGGGTTTGAACAAGTGCGTGATGTCACCTGTGCACGTGACTATGCCCTGTAAAATCTTTCCCCTGCCGTGGTAATCTCAGCTTAAAATTTGTTGTTTTTTTAAAAGACTAAATGATGATACACAAAGTAATTTGACATCTATAAAGAAACTAAACTTGGAGAACGTAAACATCAGAGAAAAACCTATGAAGTCGCTTTTTTAAATTGTGCAGTTTATCCCTTCTTTAGCATGGGGAATACTAGACAGACCCATGAGACTACTTAGGGATGCTCAGACTGTTAGGGAGAAGGACAAGGCAGTCTGCGCCCCTAAGGACTTGGAACTCCAGAAACTCTGGGGAGTAGTTCTCCTTGGGTCTGTAGGCTTGCTGTGAACTGGAATTGACCTGGCAGTGTGGGATTGGTAATTTCATGTTAATTTCTTAGGACAAACCCTCTTGTCAGAGGAACGGTTAGAAGTTTGAGGTTTGTGTAAGATCAGCATAGCCGCCTTTGCAAGGACTTAGAATATCTGGTATAGTCCACATTTCAGGGCCTTATTTGTCCTCGAGATTCAGTTTGAAAATGTCTGTTAGTCAGAAAGGACTGAGACTCAGGTTCAGGAGAGGAGGGTGAGAATTCTGGTTGCAGTACTCAGCCTGTAATCAGTGTCCCTGGTTAGGGAAACAGTTTGTGGTGTTGGGAGTCTGTGCTTTGCCCTTAAATACACAGCCACTGTGTAGCGCCCTTCCCTGAGATTTCATAGGACTCTGTTCATGAATAGGTGTCCTACACTTCATGGTTCCTGGATGCCTTCAACTACGCCATCTTGAAGAAGATTGACGTGCTGAACCTCAGCATCGGCGGCCCTGACTTCATGGACCACCCCTTTGTCGACAAGGTGGGTTGCATTACCATGTGCTTTGAGGACTGCTCGGGCTCTTCTGTGTGCTGACTCTGTGAACTTTAATTGTGCTGTGCAGACTGGCCCGTCACCCAGGCAGTGACAGCTTTGTGAGGGCAGGTGGCTGATGGCGTGGACTTTAGTGTTTTACCTGCTTAAACCCACTGGAGGAGACTCGTGGGAAGTAGCCCATAGCGACTATTGACCCCTGTCTTATCCAAACACACGGTCGCACCTGCTTACGGAACAGGTGTGTGTGCCTTGTCCAGGGCCGGGCTCTAGTTTACACTGTGGGCGGCTCACTTCCTGCCCCTCCTCCCGGGGCAGCAGACCTTGTCTTACTGCATTTTACAGAACCCTGTGGCGAGCAGATGAGTTGGTGCCTTGTGCGCACCTGCTCTCTGTGTCCTGTGTTGGCTGTTCTCATAATGTTTCGAACATTTTCATCATGCTGCCGCATACTCCATGGACTACAGCCGAGTGTAAACACAACTTTTGTAGGCGTTCACGTGACTCACTTTATTACCATGGTCTGTAGCCGAATCCGCAGTGACCCTGAGGTCTGCCTTTAATGCTATATTCTCAATGAGCGTGCACACAGTAAAATAGCGTCCGATTGGACAGTTTGTATCCAGATTGTCAGTAACAGCAGTTCCATTTTCCACGGTGTGTCAAGCTGCTCTTTAGTCTGCATCCTGTTCTCATACTTCATGTTTTAGACTGGGTCTTTCCAGAGCAGCAAAACCAGTGAAGCTTACATGTTGTGAAGCGCAGTCGAGTCAGTTCTGACTCTTAGCGACCCTGACAGGGTTTCTGAGGAGCGTCTGGTGGGTTTGAACCGCCGACCTTGTGATTCGCAGTCCAGTGCTGATCCTACAGCACCACACCAGATGTTTATATATGTTTGAGAATGGGTCAAAAAGTGTCTGCACTCTGGCTGTAGAATTTGTTTTAAATCAACTTTTAGAAAAGATAAAGACATCGTTTGTTTTTTTTTCGACATAACCCTTGCTTCTCAGTACACTTTGTCCATCTGTCAACAAGCTTTTGCATAGTCTCTTATTAAGAAAGACTTTAGGCTGAGCTGCCAGTCACCACGCTGTCTTCACTTCTTTGTCAGAGGTGAATCTTCATCCTCGAAGGGTTGCTTTCAGAGGACCAAACAGGAGAAAGTCCAATAGAGAGGATGCTTTAACACCTTAAAATGAAGTTTTTGCAGTGTCAACAATGTGGGCAAAGGTGGGCGGACATTCCTTGTCATGCAAGATCACAGCATCCTTGGGTAGTAGTCCTCTGCATTTAATTGGAAGTTTAGGCTTCAGCTCTTCAGTGAGCATCTCACTGTAAGGAGCAGTGGTGTTGATTGTTGAATCTTTTTCTAGATAGTGTTCCAGTACTGACCCTTGAGAATCCCAGAAAACCATATGCATTAATTTTCCAGCTGGTGGTTGACTTTTGAACATTTTCTTGGTCGGAGATTGAGTATGTTTCCATTCAGCACTCTGCCGTTTACTCTCAGACTCCTAGTGATGAATCCGTGTCTCGTCACCAGTAATGATAGTTTTTTTTGTAAGTTTTTATTATGAACTGAGTGGTAGTTTACATGGGAGCACATCAGCTTTACACCATTGTTTCATTGGAATAATTTCAGTCTTCTCCGTGCATCATCATTCAACAGTATTTGCTTCCATTCACTGCTGTTTTTTTTGGGGCGGGCGGAGGGATGTACACAGAAACACTCAGGAATATATAATAATTTAAACAACCAAGGGCACATTCTGCAAGCCTGCCTCCTGGCCGCCAGCACACAGTCTTTCTCTTTCCATCCAGGGGCCTCAGCTGCTCCCTCTCTCCAAGTCCTCATCTCTGTCTCCATTTCTGATGTCGCTGCTTCTCTGGATAGGGTCACACATACTGCTTGTGTTCTTCTCCCTGGATGGTCCTAGGGTCCTCTGTTCCTGTAAGATTAACTACTCCCCCTTTTTGAGTAATGATACTTTTTAAGAAACTTTTACCTTCCAGTATTGGTCCAAATTTTGTTTGCAGATGTGCAGACGCTTCTGTTCATGTTTGTCAGTGAGTTGTTTGGGTACCCATCTTGCAGAATCTTCTTGAAACCCAACTCTGTTGTGGATTATTTCATAGGCTGAGTCGTGGTTAATTTGCAGATGATTTACCACATAATCCACTGTTGCTCGTCTTTTTGACAGAATCATTTCACGTGCGCGCTCAGTATTGTCATCAGGCGTAGCCGTGGATGGGTGTTTTAATATGACCAGCGTGCGGATGATTCTTGACTCACCCTTATATATATAGAGAGAGGTTTATGTCAAGGAAATGGCTCACACAGCTGTAGTGATGGGAGAATCCCAAGTCCGTTGGTCAGATGTCAGGCTAGAAGCGTGTGACTCTTGTGGTTGCAGGGCTAACGAACCAAGGTGAGCAGGCCACATGGCAGGCAGGTTGGACAGGTAAGATGGTCAGCTGCTACAACTCCCAGGATGGGCAGGCAGTGGGCAGGCTGCTGGCTCAAGTCCAAAGAACCGAAGGGGGAATGATGAACCAGATACAAATTCCAGACTCAGCAGAAAGCAAGCAAGCTTTGCTTGAGTGTCCAGTCTGTTGGAAACAGGCCATGTCCTGAAGGAAGCCTCTTCTCCACTGATTGGCCGCTCTTAGCAGCTTTCATCATGGAAACTACTGCACCTTAGCTGGCAAACCACTGAGGCTTCTGGGTTCGTCAGGTTGACACAAAGCCTTAGCTGTCTTACTGCGGTTTCTCGTCTGTGCTTCCGTTTCATTGTTCTCTTACAGATGCTTTGTTAATGAAGCACCATGTTGTTGTTAGGTGCTATCTGGCTGGTTCCAACTCCGGTCCTGTACCGTCCTCACACTCATTGCTACGTGTGAGCCCGTTGGTGCTACCACTGTGCCAGTCCATCTCCTCGGGGCTCTTCCTCTTTTGTGCTGACCCTCTACTTTGCTTAGCATCCTTCTCCAGGGACAAGGCCTTCCTGACCTCGTGTCCAGTAGTCACATGTTATCTCCTTTTGTGTGTGTGCCAGTCTCTTACTTTGTCAAATGGTGAGCGGCCTCGGGGCAGTTTGAGATGAAGCCTTGAAGAGTGTCTCAGAGCAGTGGTCTCAGGGAATCTTCTCATCTCAGCTGGTCCAGTGAGGCTGAGCTTTTTAAGTGTTTGAATTCGGTTCCACTCTCCCCTCTAGTTCTCTCTTGGGCCATCTTTGGTGGTCCTCATCAGAAGAGCTGATAGAGGTAGCTGGGTTTCTTGGACTATTGTATGTTGATTGTTAAGAAGTGGTGTATTTTCATTTATAAGCACTCGTTTATGTTGTAGGTGTGGGAATTAACAGCAAACAACGTGATCATGGTGTCTGCTATTGGCAACGATGGGCCTCTTTATGGGTGAGTAACCCCAACAGCAGAGACTTTGGGTATAATCCTCCCTGGAAGAACTGGGAAGTTATGTCTATCTGTATATATTGGTGTGTCTGTAAGCAGCTGCTTAAGCATTCGGCTGCTCACTGAAAGGCCAGCAGCTCAGCCCACTGGCCACCCTTCAGGAGAAAGTGCTGGCAGTCCACTTCTGTAAAGGCGACAGCCTCGGAAACCTCGCGGGCAGCCTGCTCCGTTCTTCAGAATTGCTGTGAGTCAGAACTGACTCAGTAACGGTGTGTTGATGGTTTCTGGTTAAAACGTTGCTTACAGAGATCAGGAGATTGCGTGATGAATCCTCAACTTACAGCGTTAACAACACAAGACCCATCTTGTTCCTGTTTACCTTTTTTTCCCCCCCCAAATTTGATGTTAAAAGTTATTTAGGAGCCTTAAGTTTTTAATTCTAATTTTTCTCCAAAATCAATGTGGTAGTCACTCCCTTGGTGTTGCTGAGCCCCCACTCTCCACAAGGCACAGGGGGTGAAGAGGCAAATAAGACTCCCCCACACTTTTAGGAACGTGCATCCTTTTGCATCTCCCTGCATCCGTGTAGTTTTCAGGATCTGTGTGCCATGCGGCCCCTGTCAGAGCTTCGTCCCTCTCATCACAGAGCAGCCTGACAGCCTGTGGAGAAACCACAGCTGGCTTGTCCATTCTCTTGATGGACATGTGGGTGGTTTCCACCTGTGCTGCCAGGGGCACAGGTGTGCTTGTCTCTCCCTGCTCCCTGCGTTGTGGGGTGCAGTGGACGTTCTGTCACTTGGAGGCTCTGTCTGCCACACTGTCCCATAGCGGCGGTACCATGTGACTGCTGCCGCCTTTCAGCCACTTGGAATCCGCTGACGTTATTAACCCTGAGGAGGCTCAGGATTGCAGCTTGTGGGCATATTCACACCTGACCATTCTCTGGGCCGCATGGTTCTGCTTGGCCTCAGCTTACTTGTCATCGGTTATCCATTTTACCGTGCATACCCAGCTCACTTGAGGGACAGACTGACGAGTGCGGATTGGTGTGCTCTAGCTCCCCGTGTCCCCCAGGAGCTGTTGACCGTTAGGTCCTCTGGCGACAGTTGGTGCCCCCTGTTTCTCCCCCCCCCCCCCCCGGTCCCTATGAGGAAGGCGGCGCACACTGCAGAACCCCAACTGAGAGCCTGGGGCCGACGCCCACGTGTGTGTGTGGCCCCTTCTCTGGGGGGCCAAGACGTGCACATGACACAGCATGGAGGCACCTGCGGATGCATAGCAAGGATTAGCAGGAGGGGTCTTATCACGTTAGGGCAGGGGGTTCTTACAGCCTAGAGTTGGTTGGTTATGTACTGTGGAATCAGTTCCATGTAGGGTTTCCGAGGCTGTAAATCTTTATGGGAGCAGAAAGCCTCATCTTCCGTCTGTGGAATGGCTGGTAGTTTTGAACTGCTGACGTTGAGGCTGGCATCCTAACTCGAGACCAAATGGAGTTGTGAGAAAGAAAGGGAGTGTTGAGGGGCGGAGCTGAAAGGGACGGACGACAGGCAGAGGCAGGAGGTGGCAGTGTGCCTGCTATGGCCAGGGCAGCCCGCAGAGGTCTCTTCACAGAGGAAACCTAAGCCATTCTTGGGGCCTCTGCCACTTGTGCTACCGTATCGTAAGTGATGTCTCCTCCCTTAGCACTCTGAATAACCCCGCTGACCAGATGGACGTGATTGGAGTGGGCGGCATCGACTTTGAAGACAATATCGCCCGCTTCTCCTCCAGGGGGATGACCACCTGGGTAAGCGAGTGTCCCTCAGCCTCGTGTGCCCTGAGGTTTGGGGGGCGGGGGGGGAGCCTCTGTAAAGGCAGCTGGCGCTGCAGGTTGCCTGGCCTTGAGGATGAGAGGGCTGGGCCTTCCCATGCTGCACTCTGTGTCTAAGTGAGTCCTTTACAGGTGAGGCTGGTTCCTGCTCCCCTGTCCTCAGTAACAGTCGGGAGAGCCCTCATCAGTGCTGGACTCTTCCAAGCTGAGTTTGACTTTACAAAATGAGAGAAGCCAGTTAACAGCCTCATTAAGAGTAGCTTTGCTAAGCCTGAAAGACTCGTATTTAGCTGCATAAAACCTAAAGAACTCCAACACCTAAAGCTATTCAGCTATAGGGAGTTTGTTTATACCACTAACTCATTGGCCTCTACCCCTTCCAAAGAGCTGGATTGAAAGCCACGTGCTCGTACAGCAGAGGTAGCCAAGGAGTAGCACAGGCCCAGGTCTCTGGTCATGCCAGCGAGGATGCTGAGCTTCCCAAGGCATTGTAGGCTGTGTCCACACTGCAGCCCCTGGCGGGGTGCCCGTCCACAGGAGTCTCTGCCTCACGTCACACTTTCCATGCTTTCTGCCTTTGCCCATTTAGGACCTTCCTCCATTTTGAATTTGTTAGGAAGTTCACGTGCAGGGCTATGTTGTGTGCCCACCCAGTCACCCTGAGCATGTCTGTAAAGAGTGGGTCTTCATCTAGGAACTGCCCTCAGTAGCCCTCAGGACACATCTGGAATTCTCCACAGAGCGGCATGAGGATGCTTTCCTCTGTGCCCCTCACCCCTAGGTGATTTGATTGCCAGAAAAGGTTCTGCTCTTCATGTTGGTCATTGTCGTTTGGTGCCATTGAGTCAGTTTCAGTTCATCCTGACCCCATACAGCAGAACGAAACACTGCTCGATCCTGCGCCAGCCTCACATCCTCATTAGGTTTGAGTCCAGGTGGTGGCCACTGTACCGTCCATCTCTGTCTGACAGAGCCCGGTGTCCAGGGGGCTTAGGAGAGCCTCACTTTACATCTGGTCCCTGGCCACTTAATCGCCCTTCTCTAGGGGCCCACTCCTCTCCTCTTGGGGCAGTTTGGAATTCCAGTTACATCATATACTCTTTGTTTTCCTATAAAGAAGCGTTATTTTTTTTTTCCTAATTTTTAATACTAATTTTCTAACATATTTCTAATTTTTCATTTGTTGTCGTTAAGTGCCATCGAGGCAACTCATAGCTGTCCTGTATAGGATGTCCGAGGAGCAGCTGATGGGTTTGAACTGCTGACCATGTTGTTCACAGTCCAGTGGGGATCCTACAGCGCCACACCAGGAGTCTGATTTTTCACTTGTTGTTAAGTGCTGTCAAGCTGGTTCTGACCCATAGCGACCCTTTATAGGGTTTCCGAGAAGCAGCTGTGAGCTTGAACCATTAACCTTGCAGTTCAAACCAACTTTGCAGTCCAGAGCATTAACTCACAGCGCCACACCAGGACTCCTTGGTTTCTAGTTTCTAGTCTTGCATTTTTACAAAAGACTTACTTTCTATTATTATACTGATACTCCTTGTTATACACCCAGCCCCAACCCACTGGTGTCGAATCTATTCTGACTGCTTACAGCCTCCGGAGCCCTATGGGGTACCACAGGACAGTGTAGAGCTGCCCCCCAAGGTTCCGGAGACTGTACATCTTCAGGAGAGTGGACAGCCTCATCTGTCTCCCAAGAAGCGGCTGGTGGATTTGAATCACCAACTTTGCAGTTAACCTAACACTAACCTACTGCACCATCTGGGTTCTTTGGTCTTGATGAAACATCAAAAATAATTTGAGGTTCTGTATTATCCTCTAGAAGGGGCCCTGATAGCCTAGTGGACTACGAATCTACCAGTCGCTCCACAAGAGAAAGATGAGGCTTTCTGCTCCTGTAAAGATTCACAGCCGCAGAAACCCTTTACGGGGTCACTCCGAGTTGTACCGACTCGATGGCCCACCACCACCACCACCACCACCACCACCACTCTGAGTTTGTTTTTCAGAGAAAATCCAGGTTACTGTATGTGCATGAGCCTTGTTTGTAGCCTGGCTTCCCCGTAATCGCATGTAGCTGTGTGCTGGCACATGTGATGTGCTTCAAACCGTGCTGCTTTTGTTCACAGGAACTACCAGGCGGTTATGGTCGAGTGAAGCCCGACATCGTCACCTATGGCGCTGGAGTGAGGGGTTCTGGGGTGAAAGGGGGCTGCCGGGCCCTCTCGGGGACCAGCGTGGCTTCTCCAGTGGTTGCAGGTGCCGTCACCCTGCTGGTCAGGTGAGTGCTGCTGGCAGAGGTAGGCTCCTGGTTAGGTGTCAGCATACAGGGCCCGGAGCCTGGGGCAGAGCCTCGCTCCTGCTCCCAGCCCGGTTCAGGAGCTGTAGTTACAGCATGGCCGTAAAGCCCTATCACAGGGTTTGATGAAATGAGTGTGAGCTTTGCAAACTCTAAATTAGAAAGCGCTGTGTATGGGAAAACTCCACTATCTTTTCCTCCTGTTTATCCACAGCTAATATACCTGTGCCTTTTCTGTTTACTGTTTGAATTCTCTTGTTTGTTTGTTCGTTCTTGTTTACGGCACATGTTCAGACCTCCATGTGTCTGTCCAGATGAGTGTGTCCATTAGGACGGGAACAGTTAAGAGGCAGACAAATTTCTCTACGTCGTCGATTGGCTCTTCGCTTCCTTGAGTCCCAGACGCAGGTGGGACAGAGCTGTGTGATCAGCTGGAAGCTACCCCAGAGTTCAGTGGAAACACACACCCTCTGAGTGTTAGTCTGGTGGTCGTGCTGAGTAACCAGAGTTACAAAGTGATGTCATTGTCTCCATCTGCATGAGGCTCTGCTGAGGTGCCGTGTTACGATGATACACAGCTCACTGCTTGTTTAAAAGTTGCTGCAATTCATGCAATCTCAGTACAAACTTAAAACTGGCAAAGGGTAGTAAATGTGGTTTTTTTGTTTTATTTTTTAATACTTAGAATTCTGTCTACATTTATGCTTGGATTTATGACTCCCAATCCCTGAGCTTTCTGCTTTAGTAAAGGTAGACAGTTTGCCTCTTTCCTCTTTTCCTGTCTTTCCCTTTAACTCAAAGCCACATTCTTGAAACTGTTTATGTTGTCCGGACACACACACACACACACACACACACACACACACACACGAGAGTGGAAAACAGGGAAGGCGCGGTGGCCTGTGGCAGGCGGTTCCTGGTTCACTTTTGCTTTCATATTGCCCACGTGGAGAGAAGATGGGCACGGCTGCTGTGTCCCTCTAGTTGATTGGGGCCTTGATGGTGAGCAGGAGCTGAGGCCCGGCCCATGGGCTGTGCTGTCAAGTGAACGGGGCAGACGTACCTGTGCTTGTCGCTGGTGTCCACTCCGCTATGCACACGTTAGATCAGTGGCCAGGAGCATGCCAAGTTGTTCAGTGAGCCAGGAGGTAGCGCTTCCTCTGCTCTGTCAGGAAGGAGAATGCAGCTTGGGATTGGCTTGATGGGCAGAGGTGGGAAGACTGTGTGTTAGCCTAGAGCTGAGCCTTGACCAGGGTTTTCTTCCTGTTGTTAATAATCAGCCCCACTAGGTAAATGTAGAATCCTACAGAAGACCTGACTTCCTGGTCTGATAGAGACAGGTGGAACCCCGAGACTGTGGCCCTTAGACACACTTCAGACCTGGGGCCAAACCCACCCCTGAGGGTCAGCTTTCTGCCAAACAACAGACAGGTCTGTAACGTGAAGGAAAATGCCCTGAGGAACCTCATCTCTAGCAGGAGACCAAAAGGACAGCATTGGTCCGAATCTGCTCAGAAGACAGAAGGGGTAGGGGAAGGTCTGTTGGGACTGAGGAACCCGGGAAGGGGAGTAGGAGAGCACTGTTACATTGAAGGGTGTGCACCTGTTTCATGAAACAGGTTTGTCAATTGTTGGATGGGAAATGCATTTATTCTGTAAATTTTCACCCAAACCACAATCAGAAGGAAAAAAAAATCCAGCCCACTTCATCTCCCCTGACTTTCCTTTCCTTCCGCCATCCCTTCAGACCTGCTGAAAAACTGTCTAAACTCCCAGACCAACCGCTGCCCTGTCATAGGAACTTAGGGGAGTAAGGTTTTTTGCCTAGTGGATTTTTTTCCCCTTTGCATTTAGCAAGTAAAGTGTACTTGTGTTTCTTCTGTATGTGTGTTGTATTTATAATACACACAGAAATCAATGACTGCTGTAATGGTGGTATTTATACACTGTACTTTGTTGCTGTTAAGGGCCATCAAGTTGGTTCCAACTCATAGCAACCCTGTATAGGGTTTCAGAGGAGTGGCTTGTGAGCTTGAACTGCCAACCTTGTGATTCAAACTGATCTTACAGTCCAGTGCATTAACCCACAGTGGTGCCACACCAGAATTCTATACTGTAGGTAGGACCTATATTTTTACACAATAGGTAGGACCTCTGTCTTTACACTGTAGATACAACCTGTATTTTCACACTATAGGTCTGGCTTGTGTTTTTGTTATGGGTCTGTTTAGGTTTTCTACTTCACTCCGTGTAAGTTTAGGGAACTTGTGTTTTTCTAAAAATGTATCCATCTCTTTTAAGTTTTCAAATTTGTTGGAGTACAACTCTTTATAGTATTCTGTTATTATCCTTTTGATTTCCTTTGTCTCCATTGTGACATCACCCATGTGGTTTTTAATGCGTGTTATTTATATCTTCTCCCTCTTTTCTTTTGTTAGGTTTGCCAGTGGTTTGTCAATTTTATTAACCTTTCAAAGAGCCAGCTTCTTGTTCTGTTGATTCTATAGTTTTTCTGTTTTCCATCTCATTTATTTCTGCTCTGATCTTTATTCTTTCTTTTTTTTTTTTTTTTTGGTGATTGTAGGTTCCCTCTGTTGATCTGTTTCTAATTGCTGGAGATGCTGTGTCAATGTGTTAATTTTGGTTCTTTCTTCTTTTTGGATGTGCGCAGTTTATCGCAATGAATTGACCTCTCAGCACCACTTTCGCCGTGTCCCATTGATTTTGGTATGTTGTATTTTCATTCTCATTGGTTTCTAGGAGTTTTATGAATTCACATTTGATTTCTACTACTACCCAGTCACTTTTCAGCATGATGTTATTCAGTTTCCATGTATTCGACTTTATTTCCTTGGTCTTATTGTTGATTTCTAGTTTTATAGCACTGTGGTCTGAAAAGATGCTTTGTAGTATTCAGATGTTTTAAAATTTATGAAGGCTTACTTTGTGACCTAATACATGGTCAATTCTGGAGAATGGAGAATGTTCCATGTGCACAGGAAAAGAATGTGTATTGTGCTGTTGTTAAGTTGAATGCTCTGTACACATCTATGAGGTCAACTTGGTTGATTGTGCTGTTTAGTTCCTCTGTGGTTTTGTCGAGTTTCTTTCTGGTTGTTCTGTCCCTTTTTGAAAGTAGCATATTAAAATTTCCCACTATAATTGTAGATTTATCTATTTCTTTCTTTAATTCTAGTAGGGTTTGCTTCATATATCTTGGTGCTTTTTCATTGGGAGCATAGGTATTGATTATGGTTATGTCGTCTTGCTCAATTGACCCTTTGATCATGGAATAGTGTCCTTCTTTTTCTCTTCTGCTGGTTTTTGTCTTAAAGTTCACTTTATTACAGATTATTATTGCTACTCCTGATTGCTTATTATTGCAGTTAGCTTGGGATATTTTTTTCCATCCTTTAACTTTTAGTGTTTTTGTCTTTGTGTGTAAGGTGTATCTCTTGCAAGCAGCATATTGAAGGGTCTTGTTTTCTTATCTATTCTGCCACTCTCTGTCTCTTCACTGGTGCATTTAATCCATTGACATTCAGTGTAATTATCAATAGGTATGAATTCATTGCTGTCATTATGTCAGTTTTTTGGTAGTGCTGTTTGTTCCTTTGTTCTGTCTGCCTTCTGCTGAGTTCATGTTTTTTGTGCGATTTCTTATCAATTTCTTCTTAGTTTTCATGTTTCCTTCTTCTGATTGGATCTTCATTTTCATGATAAGTTGTAAAGTATTAACTTTCTTTGGGGTTTCCCTATAGTCTCTTAATTTTCCCCCCATTTAAGACAGTGTATTGTATTCTGTAATCTACCTGTCCTCCTCATCACCTGATGTCCGTTCCTATGTTTTTCACTTCTTTGACACTGTTAATATTTTGATCTTTGGTTGGCCTCCCAGGTCCTTTGAAGTCATTGCTGTAATTTTGTTCTGTTCTGAACTCTGCTATCTCTCAACTGAGTTCCAGGTGGTGTTGCCACGACTATCAGTCTTTCGTTGTTATCTGTTCTTGCTGGTTTTCATTCCAAAGAACTCCCTTTAGGATGTTTTGAAGCGCTGGATTTGCTTTGACAAAATCTCATATCTTATGTTTATCCTGAAATGTTTTGATTGCACCATTGTACTTAATTGACAGTTTTGCTAGATAGATGATTCTTGGTTGGCATTTTTTTTTCTTCTAGGGTTTTATATATGTCTCCCCATTGTCTTCTTGCCTGCATGGTTTCTGTTGAGAAGTCAAAGTTTAATCTGAATTGCTTGCCTTTGTAGGTAACACGTCTCTTTTCCCTGGCTGCTTTTAGGATTCTTTCCTTGTCTTTGATTTTGGAGAGCTTGATTATGATACGTCTTGGTGATTTTCTTTTTGGGGTCTATCCTTCCAGAGTTCGTTCAGCTTCTTGAATGTTTATCTTCTCATCCTTCAAGATGCTAGGGAAAATTTCTTCCAGTACTTCCTCAACTATCTCCTTTGTGGATTTCTGTGATTCTTCCTGTTCAGGGATGCCAGTAATTCTTAACTTATTCCTCTTCATGTTATCCAGCATGAATCTTAGGCTCTCTTCAGATTTTTTTTTTTATCCTTTTTTCTGCCTTGTCTTCTGTCTTAGCAGTATTGAGAGATTTGTTTTCCAGCTCGCTGGTTCTGGCTTCCATCTCTTCAGTTCTGCTCCTTTCCCTTTTCAGTGCATTGTCCATTTCTGATATTTTATTATTAATCACCTGGACTTCTTTTTGCAGATTTTGGATTGTTTCCAGTTGCTGTATCTATCGTGTTTCATTGTTCCTGTAGCACTTTCCTGACTTCTTCATTGTTTTCCTCCACCCTTTTTTGGAGCATTTGAATTTGTTTCCATATCATTCTTCTGAATTCCTTCTCAGACAGATCCAAAACCTGCTCTTCTTCTACTGGAAATACTGTGTCTGCCTCCAGCTTATTTATTCTCATTTTCTGTTTTGAGACATGTTTTGAGAATTTTTGTTGTGTTTTCCTGGACATTTTCAGTAGTTAGATGGATTTTTTTATGCTTAAATGGATGTATGTTGCTGTATTGTTAAGCTTGCTGAGTGACTCTTGGTGGATATGATCTCGAGATAGGCTTCCCTTTTCACATGTAATGTTTAGCAGTTGGTATTGGCTCCTGTCCTAATGGTGAGATATTATGGGGTGTGATTGTAGCTTGGCTATATGGCCATAATTACTGTCTCTTCTTGGGTAACATAGGGAGAAAAAGCTCCCACCCCCAGGAAAAAAGTGTGATCAAAAGGACCAAAACCAGGAGTGATATAAAAGAAGAGACAAAAACTACCAGTCCAAAACAAAAATAAAACCCTAGCTGTCTGACCAGTGGCAGGTGTAAAGGGTCCTTCCCAGGTCAACTTTAGGCCTGGGTCCCAGAGTCAAACATAATAAGCAGGTGTCAAAGGGTCAGTCCATGGGACCAATGGGGATCCTCCTCCCTGTGCCGTGGAAAAACTGTGGGCTCAATGCTGGACTCTTTTGGGGGTGCGCACCCACCCACCTGAAGGTGGCCAGGCTGGGCAGAGAGGGCACGACAGGGAAGAGGAGGGAAAAATGTATAGAAGCCCCCACTCCTCTTTTTTCAAATGTTGCTGCGTGGGTTTCACTGTGTCAGTCTGGCTGTGGCCCCGCTCTCTGAACACAGCCTGGGTGGGAGTGCTCTGCAGGCAGAGTCCCGAGCCTTGATCGATTCTGGACTCTCAGTATTTTCCTTTATACAGTGATTTTTCCACTGGTGGGTGCGGGAAACTGACGCCCTGCACCTTATACTAGATCCAGAGCTCTGCAGCAGCTCCGTGAAAGCACCTCCCCCACGGAGCTCTTCCTGCCTGACTCTGCTTGTCCCGCCTCCAGAAGCGGAACTCTGTGTTTTAACACTGTAGGTTGTTGTTAAGTGCTGTTGAGTCACTTCTGACTCAGTGACCCTTCCAAGGAACAGCTGGTGAGCTTGAACTGCTGACCTTGTGGTTCAAACTGACCTAGCAGTCCTGCACATTAGGATCTCTATTTTTACACTGTAGGTATGGTTTGTGTTTTTGCATAGTAGGTAAGATCTGTATTTTTATAGGACCTGTGTTTTTGGTCAGTAAGTAGGACCTGTATTTTATGCTGCAGGCATGGCCTGTGTTTTTACACTGTTGGTAACACCTGTATTTTTATGTTGTGGGTAGGACCTAAGGGTTGCCAGCTGGACACCCTGCTAGCATAGTGAGTGAACCTTTGTCCATTTGCACCCTGATGACAAAACTCTGAAGTGACTCAGACTTACTTTCCCATTTAGACTTCATCCACTGGGGGGATCCTTCAAATACGGGAAATTAGACAGCAAGAGTCAGCTTTGGGGAGAGTGGTCTGGGCCCCCCTGGGCCTCTCGCCCCTCCCAGTATTTGCGTCCCCTCCCTAGGCATCCTTTCTCTGCCTTCTCCTGTCCAGCTTGTCTTTTTGCCAGCAGACTTTCATGCCCCAAGGAGCCGTCCCTCTAAATGTCCTGGTGTCCTGTGTCTGTGTGGTCAGTTAGCTCATTGGAAAAGTGTGTGTTGGTAAAAACTTGAGTTGAGCTTACGCAGATATAGTCTTAGTAAAGCTGTGCAGACGGTATCAGGTGAGTTCAGATGTGAGTGCACGCTCATTCTCCCTCATTCCTGTCACCAAAGATGCTCCCGGTGCCTGCAGTCAGAATCCAGCGTCCCAGGGTTGCACTGTACAGGGTTAGCAATAGTCTTATGTTGGTTCTTCTGTAAGACAATCAGCAGCTCTGTGGCTTTCTCCCCCCAGTACTGTCCAGAAGCGGGAGCTGGTGAATCCGGCCAGCGTGAAACAGGCCCTGATTGCGTCCGCCCGACGACTCCCTGGTGTCAACATGTTCGAGCAAGGCCATGGCAAGTTAGATCTGCTGAGAGCCTACCAGATCCTCAACAGCTACCAGCCCCAGGCCAGGTGGGTCTGCTTCCCTCCTCCATGGCTCTGCAAGGGGCCTGCCTCTCCCCACACAATGCTTAAGTGCCCGGCAGGGCAGTCGGCTGCTGTTACTGCCATGCCTCTGACCTCTGACCTCTGGAGGTCCTTTAGTGTTTACTGTAAACGGTAAGACAATGACTGCTTCTTGGTCCCTTCTTCATCTTCGTGTCTGAAGTTTTTCTTTAGTAACGCTTTCGAGTCACAGAAATCTTTCAAGAATATGGTAGAGTTTCATATGCCATTCACCCCAAACCAGGGCCAACCCATTGCCATCACATCACCGCTGACTCATAGTGACCCGATAGGACAGGGTAGAACCACTGCAGGAGATGGCTTCGTCTTTCTCTTTGGAGAAGCTAGTAGCTTCAAACTGCTGACCTTGCAAGTAGCAGCCAACACTTAACCCACTGCACCACTAGGACTCCTTACCCTCCCTCAGCTTCCCCTCATGCAAACATTCCAGAGTTCCCGCTAACATGATCATGTCTCCTAAAGCCAAGGTGTGGCGTCATGCCTATTCTGTGATTTGTACGTAGATATGATTTGTGGTTCTCAGTGCTCCCACTCCTGGCTCCAGGATGTATTTTGCATACTTGGTGCCGTCCTTGCCTTGGTGAGGAACGGTTCAGCGGTGTGTGTGTCTTTTGAGTGGCACTGAAGGTATGCAAAGCCAAGCCTCCGACGATGCCACACGTGTAGTGCAGTGACGTGGATTGTCTCCTTGGTGTGCAGCCTCTGCCTCTGTGCTTTTCCTAATGATGCCACCACTGGTGACGCTCATCTGACTGACACCTCTCAGTGAAACTTCTGTTTTCCTCCTCACAGCTAGTGTGACCACTGGTCTGTGGTGTTTGCGTAGTTGCTTCTTTCACATAAGTTGGATCCTTTCGATTTGCCACCGACTGACTCTGCTCCACATGGTGTTTCTTGGCCCATGGGTGTGGTAGCCCACATTAATTCATTAGTTGACATTCACAGCTGGTGCCCTGAGGGTGCTGGCCAGTCGTTTTGTATGCTGTCCCTCAGCCTGGGTTTCTCTGATGTCTTCTGATGAGTGGCTTTCTTGTATATTTTTGGCACTGTAAAAAATTTCTGTTTAATCTTGACATGGTTTTAGACACAGAAGGAAGATGCAGGTTGTGAATGTGTCACGTAGCCATAGTTGCTGGATGAAAGGCTGGGACGTGCACACTGCGATGGCCTCGGGCACAGACCTTTCCACCCCACTTGCTTCAGTGGCCATATCTCCTTAGCCTCCAGGACCTGTACGCCGCCGTTTGTGTCTTCCTGGTGATGTAACTGTTGATCATGTGGTTATGGTGGTGTGCTCACTGAGACCCTCCAAGAAGGTCGAGTTTGGGTGTGAGAGATTTCTGTGGCTAGTGGTGGTCTCAGGGGCCCCCGTGAAGGACAAGGGGCAGGACAAGCAGAGAGAGCCATCAGGCTGTGATGCAGACCCTACACCACAAAGAGACGCAGAAAGGAGTGTGGGTGGGAGAGTCTCGGGACGCAGCTGAGGCAGTTCTGGCTGATGGGCAGCCTTGAGCCCACATCACCCTCCCTGTCCTCCCATAGAGATGGGTCAGCCTTGTACTGTAGGGACTTGTCTCCCTTGTCCTCACTGTGCTCAGCTATGGGCCAGGCGCAGCCTGGGAATCAGGTGTGCAGTTCTGTTGTCTTCAGCCGCACAGAATCTAGTCACTTAGGTTAGTTCCTCCTCACCTCATCAGTGTAGTTTTATAAGCTCACTCCGTACAGCTGGGTTCGTTTGTTTGGGCTTGTTGGATTCCCTCCACATCTTGGTTGATTATGCATACTGATTTGGTACGTGGTCTGGAGACGGACCTTAGGAGCCTTGGAGAAAGGTAGGAAGACCTGGGAGTCGGCTTCCACGAAGACTGCAGCCCAGAACCGTTGTACTCTGTGGAACTGCTATGCCCTACCTTATAGCGGCACTCTATGCCCTACCGTACAGCGGCACTCTATGCCCTACCTTACAGTGGCACTCTATGCCCTACCGTACAGCGGCACTCTATACCCTACCTT